AACGAAAATTATCAACTGTTCTCAAATTTTTAATCTAAGAAAATTTCCTGGGGATAATGAGAGGTTAAGTGATTTGTCCAAGGTCCGTTACCCACTATATTTTAGAATCAGGATTTGAACCCAAGTCTTTCTGATTTTGAGGCTAATTACTCTGACAGACTGGCTTTTCAAATTTAAACATGTTACTATTACTCTTGAGTACTATTCATACAATTCTGTTTATTGAACATTTCAACTATTTTTGTCCAACTGACCAGACTTTAGCCCTCTTTCCTTCCTAAAGAACTGGTTTTCAACTGTAGTTGCCTTTAAAAGAACAACCACACTCCAATCTGTCACCTTAGCTAGGTTAAGAGATAAGAGAGTCGGAAAAGGATCCCTCCACATTTCTGGTTTCTTCCACAACCTTCAGATGAAATCCAGTCACTCAATAAAGTCCTTCTGTCTCTCTCTCCCTCCCTCCCTCCCTCCCTCCCCCTCTCATTCCCTTGCTCCCCAGCACAGGGGAACCCTAAACCCTTTGGATAACCGCCAGAAGCATGAAAAAAATCTCTTGACTATTTTCCCAGGGAATTCCTTCCTTAAATGTCAGTGGAGTGCATCCCTCCAGCCAAACTAGAATAAGCTTGGATCTAAATCTAGAAAAAGCTCCCTGCTGTACCTAACGGAAAGGACTATGTTGGTGGGGAACACAAGGACCTTGACTTTTGAGATGACTATGCTCCATTGGGAAAAGAAAGCTATTCTCTAGTTCAGTTCATTAGGAAAAAAGACACTCTGTAGTAGCGCCTTATTGTGGTCTGATTATTAATGTCCACTTTTGTAATAGAACGAGCAAAGGAAATGAAGTAAGAACATCTCAGACTTCGTGTCAGTCAATCAATAAACATTGAATCAATCAACCAATAAAAATGTATCAAGCACCTACTCTGTGCCAGGCACTGCGCTAAGTGCTGCAGATACAAAGAAAGGCAAAAGACAGTCCCTACTCTCAAGGAGCCAACAGCCTAAAGGGAGAGATCTTGGATAAGTCACAACCTCCCTGAGCCTCATTTTTTCCATCTGCAAGGTAGAGATAATATTACCTGTTTTATTTACTGTCTAGGGTTGTTATGAAGATCAAATGAAATGATGAATAGGAAACACTTTAATCACTTTATAAATGTGGACCATTGTTATTATTATTTTACTTACTCAGTGGTTGACTGTATTTCTGGATATTGTACCAGATTGTTAAAATATAATAATTCCTCCTTTAAAGGACAACAAAGCTCTGTTTGGAAGCTGGCACATTTTAAGCATGCGATGATACGTAAGTGCTCTAGTAGGAATTCAATGACACTCAGATTCATGAAAAGCAAAACAAGATTTATGAGTCACAATAGACACTCTGCCCCCAGCAGCCTACAGACATTTTTTTTTCTCCTGGTGACTGATACATAGTAAAAACAAAAAAATCATGATTCTTTTGTTTATTATCTTTCATATTTGAAGATATGAAGAAGCCCTAAAAGAATTAGTCAAGGGTCGTAGGAAGAGGACCAAGCTAAATCAGGATCTAAGGGAGGGAGGCAGTGTGGTTTGGTGGACTGACAATTTAATAGCAAACGACATATGCAAAATCATAGCTGCTGCTGGTCTTCTAGCTGCCCTGGATACTTCCAATTATCCTGGCTTCAGTTTCCTTATATGTAAAATGGGGACAATATTACCGAGCTACTAGTTCTCAAGTTGATTAAACTAATAATTAACAAAGTTGACTGACTAATGAGATTGATGACAAATCAGTGTGCAAGTAAAAGCATGTTCCATAACTCCTCAGATCTATAATATCGTAAATCAAGGAAGCCAATAAAACTCGATTTTTCCATTTTTAAACATGGATTTACTTTTTGCTAAAGGCACTGTTGGCAGAAGTTTGCTTTCCAAAGTCTATCTGGATCTTGACACAGGAAGAATCCATAGAACCCAAAAGCTATTGCTTGTATCTCTTTTTATCCACCAGTACCTAACCATAAAATATTGCCCAGTTTCTTTTGCTCTATCCCCTTATAGCTGACCCTAGGCAGCCACCTTAGAAGTACCTGGTACTGATCAGAAGAGAACCAGGCAAGAGAGTGTGGCTGGATCAGCACAAATCCATCAACAGTATTGGGAGGGGCAGGGTACCAGAGCGTGTATAGCACATGTCCTACTGATTCTGATTCAAAAGCAAAATAAATAAATAAATTACATCTGCTGAAAAATTATCAAACTCTGGCATGTGAAGGGTAAATCTCTATTAAGTCTCTGGCCTGTCTTTGAAGACTACTAATAAGTGTATCAGCTAGTGCCAATTAGGGTAGCACTTTCTGTAATGGGAACAACCATCCCTGGACTGCCAACCCATTTTACTAGGGCAGTAAACATCTAGCAAGAAGAAAAGGAAAAGGTTTTGAGAAACTGTGGTAACTAAGTTTTGCTGGCAAATTTGCAAAATAAGGATGTGAACTGCCAAGGCAATGCAGTGAGTGCTAATGAAACACAGTGACTGGCAGCTTGTGAAGAATAGACCCGAAAAAAAATATGCCCAGAAAATAGTAAAAAAAAAAAACCAAAAAAAAAAACCTGGTGGGACAAGACTGTTGTGTATAGATCAGTCTTCAGCATTATTGGGGGAAGGTGGGAGCTAGAGAATCTTTAAGAAAGAGAAATCAAAATGCTACAATACTGTTTCAATACGTTTATAGTCTCTTAGTCAATTTCCTTAAGGTCAGATGTAATCAATTTAATATATCTGTCTAGAAACACCATGGGCACCTAGGTGGTGCAATGGATAGAGGCTGGGCCTGGAGTCAGGAAGACTCATCCTCCACAGTTCAAATCCAGCCTCATACACTGACTAGCTGTGTGACCCTGGGCAAATCACTTAACCCTATTTGCAAGTCACTAAACCTCAGTTTCTTCTTCTATAAAATGAACTGGAAAAGGCAAACCACTCCAGTACCTTTTCCAAGAAAACCCCAGGTGGAGTCACAAAGAGTTGGACACGACTGAAAACAGCATATTACACAACATATTACACAACAAAAAACAGCATATTACAATTTAGGAGAAGATTGTTCCTATTTTTAACTCTTTCTCAAGTGTGCATGGTAATCAGTTTTAAAGGCCAATGTGGAATTTCAGAAAACCCTCTATATATTCTACCTAGGTTTGACTTCAACTCTTTCCTCTCATTTTCATTCATTTAGACCTCCAAGCAGATTATTTAGGAAAGTCCAAACTTTACAATGTGTCTGACTCTTTGTGACACCATTAAGTGTTTTCTTGGCAAAGAGCCTGGAGTGGTTTGCCATTTCCTTCATTAGCTCATTTTTACAAGTGAGGAAACTGAGGCAAATAGGGTTAAGTGAGTTGCCCCAGGTCTTACAGCTGGTATCTGAGGTCAGATTTGAACTCAGGAAAATGAGTCTCCTGATTCTAGACGAGGTACTCTATCTACTGCGCCACCTAGCTGCCCAAGCTTTACAATAGAACACTAAAAACCAAGTAACATTCAGTTCCTGCTACATATATAGCAGGTCCCTTCAAAATGGTGGGTAGATAGATGAATGAAACAATAAGATGTTTGTTTTTTTTTTGAAATATACTCAAAATGTCAAGTCCTCTTCTGGTAAAGAATTTTTCATCCATCTCCATCTTTCAGATACCCCAGTGGGAGAAGGAGAACAAATCATTTTTAATATGTCTTTTTTCTCTCTCTCCTCAGAATTTCTTCCTCTCTAGTTCTCTTTTTCATATGAACACACTCAACTCTAAAAATAATTCTTTCTTTATTGTGATGGTAACAGAGTGATCTGAGTCTTAATATTATCTTGTACACAATTCCCAAAGCCCCCTATGTTCCTGGGCATTAAATGTCTTTAGGATTCATTCCTCATTCCATCCCCAAGTTTCTTAAATTTGCTATTTCTTATACAACACTCCTCTCAGAGAGAGATATACATAAGAAATGCAGCATGACATAGTAAAATAAGTGCTGGGCTAGGCTAGAGTCAAGACTTGGGCTGGTCTCCTGGGTTCTGTACTTTCTAGCCATATAATCTTGGACAAGTCATTTAACCTGATTCTCAGTATACTCATCTAAATAGGAGGGATAATGGTACTTAAACTATCTTTCTCTTATGGTCATTGTAGAGAAGAATTTTGTGGAGAAAGAGCTTTATAAATCATCAGTACAATATGAATGGTATGGTTTTTTTTTTACTTTGAAGTAGCCTTATTTCCTAGTAAACTGTCCAAATTTTACATATCTTAAAAATGGAGCAAATATAGCTATAAGTTGCAACTTTTCCATTGGAGAAAAATTGAAAATAGAAAATACAAATTACTGGATACTCTTCATTAACTCAAAAATATTAAAAATTAATTACCACATGAGCAAGATCTGTTTGCCAATTTTTACCCCATTTCAACTACTATATACAGCAAGTAAGGCAAATCCTTGGGTGAAGAGAATATGGATTAAAGAGCTAAAGAAATTCCCTTTAAAAAATAAAAATGACCAACCCAAAGAATATCATATAATGGATATGTGCTTCCTTTAAAAAAAATAAAAATGACCAACCCAAAGAATATCATATAACAGATAAGTGCTTCCTTTAAAAAATAAAAATGACCAACCCAAAGAATATTACATAAAAGATATGTTCTTCCTTTAAAAAACAAAAATGACCAAATGAAAGATTATGTATATATGCATAAATATATATACACATATGCAAATATATGTATATGTGTGTATGTTTCCTATTCCTGAAATGCTCTGGGTCTTTAGTGATCAGGTAAGGAAAAGCTATTTCAAGTTCAAATATAACTTAGTGATTGCCACATGGTTCAAAATCTTTCCACCCCTACACTCCAAAAACCCAATCAGACAAGTTGCAGTAATCTGACTCCGAGTGCACTCAGTGCTGTAGTCTGAGCTATTAGAGGGCTGCCGCCCGTGCACTCTATCCAAGGAAGGAATGAGTGACAGACCAGCATCAAGGCGTTGGGGGTAAGTACCTTGTTTTCCTTAAGGGAACACAATGTAAAAGGCTGCCAAGCTGAGGGCTCTTATGTTTTAATACAAATACATGAAATCTCAGATAGAATCTGGAGGGTACCTCCTTAGTATGTGGGTAGTTCTTTTAGATCTGGGTGCCGAAAGTATTTATTAGAGAGGTACAGAGAACAGAGAGAGAGCTAAAGATGCTTTTAAGTAAATCACAATTAGGGAATGGACCTGTGGAAATACAGAGAAAGTACCCTATGGAGACAGACCTATCAGCAGTATCTTTGCTCAGAAAAGTTACTCACCCAGGTGTTTAGCTGTCCCAAAATGGATTGGACTAGATAAGCAAGGTTGGTGCTCAGTTAGAAAGTAATGTGCACAACTCAGTAAAACCCGTTCACGTCAACAAACCCTGCTTTGTTCTAAAGCAAAAGAAGCAAAACAAATTGTGTTGGTGCATTTCCAAAGAGTGGGAGCATTTAAGGGAACTGGGGGGCAATAAATTGGAACTAGAAGGATAGCTGGTATGAACACTTGTTGCATTAGAGACATACTCTGCTTAGTAATGGTGGGGTTCACAAGGAAAAGAAGCTCAGCCCTGGAGTAAGACAAATCCTAGTAGGTTGCAGGGGAAAGTCTAACAAAATAATAGTTAAAAAGATGTTCATCTGTTTGTGGGTTTCTGTGGCTGGCACAAATCAAAAATATAAGAAACAACAAAGTTTCTTGGACTAGGTCTCTGGGGAGACAGGCAGGTGGTAGGAAAGAGAAGGAAGCGGAGGGAACCTGGGGAATTGGGGGAGGGAGAAATCCACTGAGGTTTAGCCAGGGAGGTGGGCCCTTTCTTTAGGCACCTCCTCCCCCTTGTGTTTTCTCATGAGATCCTTTTCTTTTGCTTAGCTAAAAGGGAAAAAAAAAAACTTCCTGCTCAACCTGCTTCCCTGACTTCTCTTCTTTTCTCCCTCCCTTTTCTAACTCTTTTCTAACTTCTGACTTTGTCTCTCCCCTTCCTCCGTGCAAAGTTAAGACCAACACTGCCGATAGCATCCCCCTTTACTATCATCACTAGGGCCTTTGCCCACCGGTAAGTCCAGGGCAAAGCCTCTCCATTTTTTTTGGTTGGTGAGTTAGGTTTTTCTACTTCTCTCCCTACCCCTTCCCTTGGCTTCTATGGGGATACTTTTGAAAAACTTTTTTTTTTTTTTGTTACTTGCTTGTTTGCTTGCTTAATATCATAAAGCTGCTATTTGCTTCTATAGGTCCTAGTTTACAGGGTTGCTCCAAGTCATTCATTTCCCAGTTGGGGTCATGTATAATTATATATGTCACTTAGACAAGTTCAGCTTAGCAAGAAAAGCTTGGGGTACCCCCTGTTGTTTCTCTTCCAGTAACTCCTCCTTTATCTTGTGACAGGAGGCCAGTGTTTTATTTTCCTACCTCTGACCTCAAAACATCAACTCAACCCAAAAACTGAGTTGTGAAGTGGATCCCAAAATGTCAAAGGCAGTTTCCTCTTTAGAGACCCAGAACAGAAAATAGGGTATGGGATGTGAGGGCTAGGTTGGGTAGGGAGAGGATGACCTGATTGCTAAGGAATGCACCGGTGGATGGACTCTGCTTAAGAAGTAATTCTGTCCTGCAAAAGTGCTAACTTAGCTGTCTTGCCTCAATCTCAACCTTGTTCTCAGTGGTGAGAACCGTTGAGCAACACTACAGACCTATCCCCAGGGAAATGCCTCTCTCCCACTCTGAGGTTGCCTTTGCATTATCTACTCAATGATTTTGGCCCTCATTTTCTAAAGGGGTTTACCCACAAGTGCTAAAGTCTGGATAGATGTCCCTAGGGCAATTAGTGCAGCGCATAACCACACCAGACCATTTGGGAGCATTGCCCCAAGGTCAGTCACACACTCAGTTATATTTTTGTATTTCTATGTATTTATAGGGCCGTTGGTGAAAAAGTCCTGCATTAAGACCTTGTGACATGTGAGCCTATAGGGAAGATGGCAATTTCATTCTGCTTTCCCTTACCCAAAAGGGACTGGAAAAGGGAAAGGTGGAAGGACAAGGCTCCAGTCAGTGCTCCTGGAGCAGGAGCTGAATAGGAGGTAGCAAGGGAAAGCTGCTACTAATTGCTTCCTACGCCCTCACCTCCACCCCACCCTGCAACGCAGCTTCCCGGAGCCCTTAGCGCCACTCCCCCTTCCAAAGAGCCCTCCTTTCTCTTGCCTCTGTCCCTCAGAGAAAGATCCCCTTTGCCTAGCTCAGGTGTCAACCGATTGGCTGCTTCTCCCTCCTCCCTGCAAGTGACACAGGGGTCACTGAGGGCCAGGCGGGCGCGGACCTCCAAGTGGACCATTTCATCCTTGCGTAAACTCAGGGCAATAGAAAAGGTTGAGCATGGGGCGGGAAGAAACCCCTTGAATGGCCCCTCTGTAGTGCAAGAAATAAAAATTCCAGGGAGAAATTCACCCTAAAATGCTCCCTGCACCCACTCAAGGTCATTGACCAGCAAGCCTTACGTACCCCCGACTCCTCCAGCCCCAAAGAGAGGAGTGGCTGGGGAGAAACACCAAGAATGGCATTGTCCCCTTCTCTCAACCCCCTAGTTGTGTTCTGGTGTGTTAGTCGTCTCTGTCCTGAAGCCTTGGACTCTGCCTGGGCTCCTGGTGGCCCCTTCGGGGAAATAGGCTGCTTTCCTACCAATACAGAGAGGCTCTCTCTCCAAGTGCTCCATTCTGCACCCCCTGTGCTTTGTTCCGGAGATGATACTTCACCGAACTCTTCTTTCAGATCTGGCTTCACTAAGACACTCTTTGTGACTCGTGGGTTGCCAACCAATTAGCGAATTCCTCCTGCCTTCAATTTACTGTAATCCTGCTCCAGGTTCAAAGAGAGGGTGAGGGAATGGCTTGTTCACATCGCTGCAAACTGAGAGAACATTCACTTTGTTATTTGTTTTCCCTCCTAATTTGCCTGCTGGGGTGTTTCTGCAGCAAGATACAGGGGTCTCGAATTTCTGCCTTCCTAGCAGGCTTCCTCTTAATCCGGGGTCCCTGGAGAGAGGAAAAAGAATGCCCTCTGAGCCCATTTTCAGAATATTTTCGAGGAAACAATGAAAAAAAATAGCTGGAAAAGACTTTCTGCTTTGTGTCCACAAGTGTCTCTGGCCTTCAGACAGGAAAAATAAAACGTGATCTGATGGATAGTGAGTAGGATAAATCAATTTCAATATGTATTTCAAAGAATTTCATTAAGCACCTTCCTTTCAAGGCTCAATTTAAAAAAAAAATTTCTTTTAAAATGTGATGATTGTTAATGATACACATATATGTATGTGATTCTAAGTAAACATGACATCTAGTAGCCTAAGAGATCAACTTAAAAATGAAAGAGATTTTCTCCAATATTACGAGAATTTTTTTATTGGTATGCAAATAACCTTTACTAACTCCTCCCTACCACACTCAGCATCACTGGAGGACCTGCCAATTATAGTCATAAAACCTTCCAGTAACACACAGGCTGACTTAGTTGCTTCTGATTCAGGCTTATTTTCCTCTTTTTCAGTAAGTGTGAACCTCTGTGTAAACGTGAGAGCATCATGGTGGCATTCAAAGGAGTTTGGACTCAGCCTTTCTGGAAAGCCGTGGCAGCTGAGTTTTTGGCAATGCTTATTTTTGTACTCCTCAGCTTGGGTTCCACCATCAACTGGGGTGGAACAGAGAAGCCTTTACCAGTAGACATGGTCCTTATCTCCCTCTGTTTTGGACTCAGCATTGCAACCATGGTCCAGTGCTTTGGACACATTAGTGGAGGCCATATCAATCCCGCTGTGACTGTGGCTATGGTCTGCACCAGGAAGATCAGCCTTGCTAAATCTGTCTTCTACATTGCCGCTCAGTGCCTAGGTGCTATCATCGGGGCAGGCATCCTCTACCTTGTCACGCCTCCCAGTGTGGTGGGAGGCTTAGGAGTTACCACGGTAACAACTTTCACTCTTACTTTTAAACCAAGACAATGAAGTTGATGATGTTGACTCTGCTAAATGAACCCTTAGCAGCCTGAAAGAGCTTCCCCAAAGTGGCTAATTTAGTCCCAGAGAATATCTTATTCATTGGGGAACCTAGATAATTATTAGCATGGGCAAGAAAGTATTCTGGAAAACTGACAGTATCAATATGAAATCTTTGGGGGCTATTAAGTGATTTAAAATACTGCTGAGTTCAGAAGTATCAAAAGCTATCATTTTTCCCTGTATCTTCACCATCCCCATTTTTTCTACTGACTATAGATTTTGGTTATGACTTGTTTTTTAACATATATTCTTTAGATGGGGGTTGGAGGAAGAAATTTGTGGGAATAATTTAGTTTCATTTCCATTCGAATACTATGTTTCTTTTACAAAAAAAAATTCGTGTTTACATCCCAGCTTTGTTCTAAGCTGATAAGGAGTATCATTTGTTAGCTCAGCACCACAGCTGATTAAAAATCCAGTAGAGCCTCACACTGCTTAAAATTTAATTGAAATAGAAATTAATTAATTTAAACCTAATTAATGAGTTTCTAATCGCATTATGAAATTACAATGCTCTCAAAAATGGTTTATAAGTTTAAGTTCAGCACCAATAAAATTGACTTCCTTTGTAGGACTGGGCATTCAATTTGAGTTCCATTTGGTCATTGTGAAATTGCCTCTAACTGCCAAAATGAATAGAAATGTATTCTGGGTTTTTTTCCTCACAATTAAAAACAAATCTTGAATATAACCACCACCTTTAACCCTGATGAAATATGCAATTTGCATTAATGCATTGTTATATAAGGTGCATACTTCTACTAAGAAGGTATTATTTTTCTCTTTTTAGGTCCATGGAAATCTTACAGCTGGTCATGGGCTCCTAGTGGAGTTGATAATCACATTTCAGTTGGTGTTTACTATCTTTGCCAGCTGTGATTCAAAACGAACTGATGTCACTGGTTCAATAGCTTTAGCAATTGGATTTTCCGTTGCAATTGGACATTTATTTGCTGTAAGTTTCCAACTCTATTTAAATAATTGATCCATTTCTTTTTTCTTTTCCTTAGAACTAGGCTGAAGATGTGTTTAATGGCCATACTTGTTTAGTATTTAACTTACTGTTTCGTCATTTCAAGGGATAATTTTGTTAATTTTGTAATAAAGAATGTTGATATACCAACCAATAACTAAAAATCTCCAAATGGGCTGGCTAATGGTATCAAGTGGCAGTGAATGATGCTAGTAGTAATCCTATTTTAATAATGCCTGAAGTTGATTTCATTTTTCCCATAGATCAATTACACTGGTGCCAGCATGAACCCTGCCCGATCTTTTGGACCTGCTGTTATCATGGGAAACTGGGAAAACCACTGGGTAAATGTGTTTATTATTGTTATTATCTTCCGATAGCTGAGAACAATGACCAATTGATTGTTTCTCATTTGTTTATTGTTGTATTTTTTCCCTTTTATGGAACCTTCCATAACAATGAGGGAAATACTAGCACAGATCTGCTGCAAAACATCCCATCTTACATCTGTTCTGTGCCTGCGGGAAGGATCTTATAAATGTCCTGCTTTTTGTGCTGTGTATGATAGGCTGTGTGGCAGAATTTAGTGCATGCTTGTAGGTGTCCTATTTGAAGTAAATTAAAAAGTGAGAGGGTGGGATGGGTTAGTTTCCCAAGCAAATGAAAACAAATCCTGCTCAGCAATGAAAGAAAGCATACCTTTGGAAAGCCATGAACTTGAAAACATTGTCCAGGCAAGACATGTTTACCTTCTTTGTTTACCAAAGCATAAATCCAACTAATTGTATGGGAACTGGAAGCATCCCAACAGCAAGCAGATCATGTAAATATATAATATAATTTAACTGTTATCATAGAAATGTAGTTTATATATATAATATGTATTTATGAACATATATAAACTATGTGAGATTAAGGAGTATGTTCAGTCTGGTGCCTAAATAATTAATATGGCGTTAGGACTTCAAGACAACAGAGTTTTCTGTTTTCTAACTTAATCAGTTTTATTTTAGTAGAGTCTTGCAACAGGTCTGGAAAAAAAAAAACAAAGAGTAATGCAGCAGTTTTAGGGACTGATCCCAGGCAAGATTAAAATCTGTAGTGTCTGATGCAATCAGTCCCACTACATACAGAAGACAGAAATTTGAATAGATATCAGGGAGGCATATGACAAAGTTATACAAAAGTAGTCATAATTATTTAAATATATACACATACATATATAGGTACATATTTAAAGAATTTGTTCTGTTTTGTATCTTGCTCTGTCCTTTAGTACTTATGGTCCAAGCCCATTCATTACTGGTTGGAAATTTCCCTGAGAACTTTCCCAGGGGAAAAGTGAAAACATGAAAGAAAAAAAAAAGATCACTAATATTTAAATCCATTTTAAAAAAGAATCTACTACAACTAAAAGCAGATAGATACTACACTTAAACTATAACTAAAAACAGATAGGTATGTCTTATTTGAAAAAGATAAAACTATCTCTCAAAATCAAGCTATCTTTTGCATAAGTGTAGAAAACAGGTATTTAGGTACTCAGCCAATCGACTGTGCTCTCCTTTTTGAAAGTGGTTGTACATATAATCAGTCTTACCAATCAAATGAGTTTTTACCAAAGAAACAAAGAGCAAAGACATTTGGGGGAGGGTTCTCATTTCCCACTTTGAAAGAGAACAAAGAAAATAAACTCTCTTACAGTTCTTTTCATGTTCAAGATAAGGAACCCAGTCTTACAGTCACTATGCCCACAGTTTGATCAATTGTGTTCGCTACAGTCACAGCTTAAAGTTGGAATTTGGTTTGTATTTTGCAGTGAGAAAGCTGTGTAAAGAAATTTTCCTGAGCTCTGGTGAACACCATTTGACTACCTCTTTTTCAGAAAGTGACAAAAGTATCTAAAAATTGCTTAATAGTTCACCATAAATGTTTTCTCTAAAATTCCAGTTCATTAGAAATCTTAATTTCAACCCACAGATAATCTCACTCAACTTTTGGCAAGTTGATTTTTATGTCCCATCCCAGATGAAAACAGAGGTTGTTCATCACTCAGACTATGGTGGAAATATGTACCCCATTGTTAAAAAAGAAGCTAAGTGGTGCAGTGGATAGAGCAGAGCACTTGATCTGGAACCAGGAAGACCTGAATTCAAAGTTAGACTCAGATGCTTACTAATTGTGTGACCCTGGGCAACTCATTTAACCTCTGATCTGCTTCAATTTATTCATCTTTAAAATAAGAATAATAATGGCATAAAATAATATTTGTAAAGTACTATGAAAACCTTAAATTGATATCTAAATGCGAGCTACTGCATTTTTAAAGACCTAAGCACTGAGAGTATTCCATTTCTGATTAGGAACAAGAATGAAAATATTGTGACATTTGCAAATGAAACCAATTCACCAAAACTTGGGAAAACCATGGGTGAATGAAGTTATTCTTCTCTAGCTCTTCCTTCTGTAAATTTTCAGCGGGGTGCTTTATAGCTAAATCCAAATATTGTCAAGTCTGTACTGTGAACATGACCTCAGAGAAAACCAGTAAAAGACTGGCAACTCTAAGGAAGAATAAAAACACCCCTGGAAATTCTTTTGTATTTATTTCAAGTTCAAGTGGAGAATTCATAACATATGTATGGTTTTCAATACAGCCAAGAAAAAAAGTGTTCTGACTTTAGAGAACTAAGACAACAGAAAGGGAAAAAAAATCAAAAAGAGGTTTTGAAAAAAAAGGAGGAATGGAAGAAAGGAGGATTCTCTCGTTTCCTGCTCAAAAATTTACTCAGAAATCTATGGATTGGGGTGGATTATTGCAATGTCTTACATTTTCTATGCAGCTCAGTTTTCTCTAATACATAAACCCTAACTAATCTAGTCAAATTCACATTTAAATGGTTTTTGTTTTGTTTTGGAATAATAATTTTCAAACAGCTTTCCATTAATCCATCTTTCCACAGATCTACTGGGTAGGACCAATCATTGGAGCCGTCCTTGCCGGTGGCCTTTATGAGTATGTCTTCTGTCCTGATGTAGAACTTAAACGCCGTTTGAAGGAAGCCTTCAGTAAGACTTCTCAGCAAACTAAAGGGACCTACATGGAGGTGGACGACAATAGAAGTCAGGTAGAAACCGACGATTTGATCTTGAAACCTGGATTAGTGCATACAATTGATGTTGAGAGGGGGGACGAAAAGAAGGGGAAAGAATCATCCAATGAAGTGTTGTCTTCAGTATGACTATCAAGTGGCACTGAAAGCAGAGAAGACCCCTCATATTTCCTTCCACCCATTAAAGAAACAGATTTGTTATAAATTAGGCACGTGCAGGTCTTCTAGTTTTTGAAGGAGGAAGCAATTTGTCTGCTCCTTTATGTCAGAATCCTTAGTCTCTAAATGTTAAATCCCTCTTTCTCTCTGACAAGATAGGAAGGAGACCTGCAGTGGATTCCAAATTCTAAAAGTGTATACTCCCAAACTGAATATACATAAATGTTTATTTCTATCCTCATTTATTAGCAGTCAATAGTGAACTGAAAGTACAGATGTTTAAAGTGCAGATTGACAGTTGAGACTTGCCTGAGAAGTGCCTATGGACATATATTTATCAAATTGTTCTTATGACACATGATGGGCTGTTGTCACCCCCAATTAGGCTGTTTTACTACATGAAAGGGTCTTTGCAGATTTATCAGTGGTAATGTACAATAAGGCACAGATTCAAATTCAAGGGAGGAATTATTTATGTTTTCCCACCCGCACCCTACCCATGTCACCAGGCAATCACTTAAAAAAAAAACCTGTAAGCCTGCAAAATAATATTTTAACACAGGTTTTAAAAAGTAGGTGAGTCATTTCAAATGGTTCTTATTAAACTCATATTGCACATATCTATCTTTTACAATGCAAATGTCACCTCCCTCTGATATAATAGCCCATCTAAAAAGTCCAAGGTTGAGACATTCTCAAATACTATATACATGCTGTTTTCTATGTCCATCTGATCAAACATCTAAATCTTGAGGTTCATCTATTGAAATTCAATCCTACCATGAGTCCCAGGCTCATACGGGAATCAGTATGTTCCCATGTTACAACCTAATAATATAAAATCAAGGAAATGTGGATTCTGGTATTAAAGGAAACAAAGGTTAATCTGTTTTCAGTGCACTTACTTAAATAAACTATGGTGTGTTCATTTATGTCATCTCAACTTTAACCACACTTATCTTTTTAATTTATTGGAAAAATCTGGGTTGTTTGTTTGTCATTAACTTTGGTTAGCTATATTTAACCATTAGATAAGAGATATTTTTGATAACAGAAAATTCTGACTATTATTGATAAATAAACTCTGCTTACCTAAGCCACGTCCATGGCAAAAACACTAATTGATCTGGACTTCTCTTGTTAAAGAGTTCTATTCAGTCTCATTGATAAGAAAGTCCCTCTCATTTCTCATTCTCAATTGGTGAATAATAACTATTACAAATGTGATGTCTTGTACCGGGTAAGGGAAATTGAGAAAGAAGAGGCTTTAGGAAGAAACTGGGACCAGATGAAAAGGAAAACATCCGAATGTTCTGCATACAATGATGATTAGAAGACCGACCTTTCATTTTTAGAAGTGTTGTAGATAACCCAGCAGAAGTAAATGTAATGGTTTTTTATTACAGACTCATTTCTTTGTTATAAGGGTGCATAGAAATAGTTTCTATTTGTTTTGCTTTTGCCTTATGTCAGTACTTAGTTCTCTGGAAACCCCAGTTCATATAGTTTTAACTGTCTAGGCTTTAGTCTAAAACAAAGAGGTGCAAATGTCAATTTCACTGAACAAAACCCAGTAGAAGCGAAGCAAGCTTGTAAATAGATGATAACCAAGAGCTCCCCTCTCCCAAGCACAGCTCCAACTGAGAAGTACTTTTTAACGTTAATGGCAGCTGTGTGTCTGTGGCAGTGAGATAATGGACCATTATTAAACCTGATTCTCTTCGGTGCTAGGGAAGCCGTGAGGCTGCCTGAGAAAGGTAACTCCAATGCAGCCAGCTGGGTAGTGCCATTGGCATTTGGTGATGGTGCCTGCCTAGGTTCTAGGCACCATCCAAGGGTAGAGCGCTACTTGGCCAATAATTCACTTCTCCAGCTCCAAGTTTCTTGCTTGGCACTGGTTTCTATAGAACCAAGTGTGAAAGTCACCTGAGGGCTGTGTTTGGCTGCTATGCCAAATGCCTGAATACTACACAGTCAAAGGGGCTTAACATCAGTGGTTATGTTTTCCTAGTATAGGCCAAGCTATCAATTATCAGTAGATAAGCCAGTTCAGAGATAAACTAAGTTAACCAGCCAGAGCTAACAGATTCCCTGCCCCCTTTCACCATAAAAAAAAGACTTTATATCATAATGACTTTCCTGATGGCAATCACTTTTAGCAACATTCTTCCACATTATATTTGTATATACTCTTATGTGTGCATGAGAGATACAACCATGGCTACTTCATTCATCAAATCAGAGAAGAAGAAAAATGATCCATGATTTCGGTTTTCAAAACATTTCATTTGAGGTTTGGAAACAAAAATAATTTTGTTTTAATAGATGTGTTTTGCTCAATATTTCATAAAGGCATGCTTTTAAGGGACTTATTAAGGGAAAATATTACAAATGTAAGAACCATAAAAATGTCTTTCTTAAATTCTAGTATTTTAGAGGTATGAAGCAGATGAATACATAAGTTGTGAGTTGGGATATAATTTTTTTGCATATGAAGTAACATATTTTGTATTTCACTCAAGGCTCTGCCAGTAAAAAGTAATGAAATTGTACCTTTCTAATGACATCTCTGCAGCAGGGGTCTGTTGCCTTGTGGATGACACCAAATTATCCATGTGTATTAGGAGACTGAGGCTTTTTCCTTTAATCTCTTTTTATTAATGAAGTGCATAGTGCCTGTCCCAGGAGAGCACTACTGACTGATATACAGAAGAGAGATCAGAGAGGAAAAAACTAGTAAAAAACACAAAGGAATTACGCCTGACCATGAAAATGATCCTTACCTTTCTCTTTAAGGATATGCAATGGAAAAGTACAGAATTGTAGGCACAAAAACAGCCCAAGCAACCCTGAATAGTAAAATAACCCTGTCTACTGAAGATCTGTTTATTTTGTCAAAAGTTACAAACAGCAAAGGCACGCTTTGGGTTTGGGGGCTTAGGGGGTGGGAAGAAGAATACATTTAATATGCCTGATATCAAAGAGGTAGTCAGACAGTCCTAACTAAGCCTCTGCAGTAAAAGGAAGTGTTGACTTGTAGTTAAATAATGGATCAATATTTCTATGCTTTGTATCACTGCTGTCACTTTGCTCCGTAACCTTGAGCAAATCACTTACCTCCTTTCAGTATGTGTTCCATAGACAGGTTCCAAGGCCATCGTAGACTGAAATTTCAACAGAGATTTGAAATCTTGGGATAAAATGTAGAATAAAAGTGAGCTATATAGGATCACAGGATTTTAAATTTGGAAGGGACTTTAGAGATCATACTGTCTGTTCCTCTCATTTTTCAGATGAGGAAACTGAGGCCCAAGATCACACAGTTGTTTTTTGTTTTGTTTTGTTTTGTTTTGTTTTTAATGAAAAAGCCAGGATTCACACCCAGGTCTTCTGACTCCAAACCCAGCATTCCCTCCTCTGCTCATACTGATCCTCATTTGTTGGGAGATTAATTTTACCTTTCCAGCTAGGCAGCATTTCCATACAGGCACACTGTCATAGTATTCTTTTTAGGCTGTGAAAACTGGCAAAATATCATTGATAAATTGCCTGAAATCCAAAAATGGAGTTTTATATTCAAAAGCTAAAATAAACTTTACTTACTCCCTTTTCTTGCCATAATAGATCATAGTTTGATCTCTACAGATCATAATCCAATCAATATAAAAGCCAACAAAAATTATTATGTAGGGTAGTTCATAATACACATATCCAAAACATTTCACTAGAAAACAATTATGTCTTCGCTAACTAGTTTAGTGATGAGAAGATTATTAGAAAGACACAGTTATCTTTGGAAAAGCATTATAAGATTAATTTAACTCACTTCATCTCAAATATGTCTTCTAGCACTTACATTTTCACATATTATGTATATGTAATTTTAGTCAATGTTTGTGACTATTCATTCTACAACTTGACTTTTAAAGACATGTCAAGTACTGAGGCAAGAATGATCTCACTGAGTAAAGAAAACAGTTAAAACAGTCTTTTCCCTGTAAAATTATAGGAAAGGCCCAAGGGGTCCAATCCCTGCTAAGCGGAAGCAGTCATAGATTAGAAGGGTTGTAGGTTGTAAAGAATTTTTGTGAGGTTCTGTCCCACTTAAAGCTAAGCTCTATCCTTTCAGTTCCTTCACATTTCCCACCATATAGAAGTAAAATAGACAGGAGTAGGAATTGTTTGTAATTGCCCAGATATTGTATTTGTAGAGTAGGAAACAGATCAACGTGAGACAGGAGCTTAACAAAATGGACAGTATGAATGTCATCTCTCTTACCATTCCCACTCAGCTCTAAACAACCATTTTCCCAACACTGATTGCCACACTCAAAAATGAACAATCTGTCACCTCCATCCAACATAGGGCTAGGAGTGCCATCAGACAAGACCACCTTTGCTATATCCCTAACCTTGACCACCTCAGCAGATATTCTGTATCTACCGGTTTATTGTTGTAAATGTTCATTATCAACACTAATAACATTAACTATATTAGTAGCCAAATATCCATTGTATTTGACTTACTCTGATCCAGTGTTCCTCATTTTCTTTTCTACAACCTTTCTTCTCAGAGGTGGTGTGTGCTACCTCTCAGTTGATGAAAATGGAATTGATTTTTGAAACCCATATTTGTTTGAAAAAAATGATAGAAATTTTGTGCTAGATCAAAAATCTAACAGCTGTACTTTGCTGACGTCTGGGGCTTTTGAAGAAAATACATCAAATATTATAAACTATGCAGTGTTTGCAATGTACATCAAATTTAAGCAAAGTCGGAGTGTTAATCTTTTATTATAAAGGGTGTCAAGTCAGTAGGATGAAAATATACCTAATTTGTATAACTCACCATGATATGTGTTTAGAAGCTTTTCGGGATTAATTAAATAAGCAAGCAATGCATGAAAATGTATAAACAAGTATTTATCACTTTTATGACCCAAGTCAGAATGAAATTGTAATTCATGATAAACTAAGGAAAATAAACTGAACATATGGCTATATTCACAGTTATTTATTAACTGAAATGTTAGTTGTTATTATATTAGAACTAATGTCACAGGGCTTTAAACTACAATTCATTGCATTTGTATAATGTATTAAAAATATGATCAAATTGGTTGATTTTTATTAGTTATACTGTATCTCATAACATTACACTTTTGCAAATAAACTATTGTCTGCTTTTAAAAAAAAGTAAGCGTGGTGTTTGATATCCTCAAGTTTTTGCTTTTCGTTTCTCCAAGTTAAGTTTTGTAGCAAGCTATTTTATTTTCCCCTGAAACATTAAGAATGTGTCTGATCTTGGGAGCTTACAGAGGAATGGATAGTTGTTAAAGACATTTGATTATGTTTCACACTAAATAAAATATCCATAGAACGAAGTTCCAGCAGTCAATAAGTATTTATCAAGTACCCAGAGTGCACTCAGCAGGAGGCCCAGATCTAGATAAAAATTCTATTCCATAGGTCAAAGTGTCTATATTCATTTTGACATAAAATATACCATTGGCTATTAACCTTTATATCTAGACTTAAGCACATACTCAGCTGTGCAAATAACTTGGGACAAAATAAAATAATTAATTTTATTGGCATATCTTAAAACTTTTGAGGAATGAATGCCTATGTGGATTAAGTCCCTACTCGGTGCCTGGGCTGTCCTACTTGGTAGCTTTATTGTTGTTCCATCAAGTTGATGCCTTTCTGCTCCAAGGCAGCTACAAAAGCCGTGGATTCTATTATGAGATCTCTATTTCTGTTGTTGATTTGCTATTTGACCTTCAACCAATCACTTTGTTTCTCAGTTTTTTATGAAATGGAAACTAATAAAAAATGACTTGCAAATTCTTACATCTTCAAAAAATTTGTCATATGCAAAATATCCTCCTTTTGCAACAATCACTTTTTTTACAC